CCCAGGAGAAGACTACTGGATGACAGCCTTCCAATGCTCTAGAGAAGTGGAGCTTGCCTATGCTGTAGTGAAGAATGATTATCCCGATTGCAAATGCTTCTTCTTTGCAGTTAGGAAACATACTTAAACTCATATTAATCTACCATATGCTTAATCCTTGTGCCTAAAATATCGCCGAATGAATAATGCAGAGGTCTCTGTTCTAAGGCTACTGTCATCTAAGACTTTAGATGTAATTTTGGCTCTACTAATAAGTCATTACTGGATGTAATCCTTATACACACACACACACACACACAAAGAAAGACTTAATGTGGAACCAATTTCATTTTCTTTGTGGGGAATATGGGTATTGCAAAAAGATTAACCCACATAGAGCAACAAGATTTCAAATGATTTTTTGGAAGGTTGCCTTACAAGTGCAACTGATCATCAGTAATTAATGATTTCAGAATACACATCAATCGCGGGGCAATAACAAGAGTGGAACATTAGCTATTGAGAAAATTAAAAGTAAACACTAGCAACAATGAAAAGTATCTCTTGCAACCTACCAGCCAATTAAGTTCATGCAAAGTGAGTGGGATGTTCATCTTTAATCTCACACATATCAAGCTTTTCCTTTTGTAGTCAGCTGAGCCCAGTCCCAAACTGCATCCAAAGATTTTCCAAGCATTTTTGCTTGAGATTGTGACATTAGACAACTGGTAACCTAAAGAAGTAATATCATTCCTCACCTGAAATGATGAGGAAACAGATATAGGTCTCAGACCCAAATTCTGCAGCTCTTAAAGAATAAATTATATACCAGTACGTGAGCATAAAAACAATCAGAATAAACTACCTATTAAAAGAGCCATGGTGGTGCAGTGGTTAGAATGCAGTATTGCAGGTTAATTCTGCCAACTGCCAGCAGTTTGATTCTGACTGGCTCAAGATTGACTCAGTCTTCCATCCTTCTGAAGTCATTAAAATGAGGACCCAGATTGTTGGGGGCAATATGCTGACTCTGTAAATTGTTTAGAAAGGGCTGTAAAGTAGTATGAAGTCTAAGTGCTACAAAGTCTCTGGGAGCCCTGAATTTTGTAGGCGAACAAAACAGTGCCATTTTACTGCTACATTTTAGGCACCAGTTTCTCTGTAGGGCTTAGAATTGAAGGAGAATATGTTTGTCATGCACATATTAGCTTTGTCTTTTCAAATTAATAAAAAGAAATAATCTTGTCTTTTACTCTCTACATACTAAAATGCTGTGAGGCACAAAAAACAGAATAAGTAAAGAGATACACATTTGCGAAAAATATTGGCTGGCTCCAGGGGATTATAAATGCTTCCTTGAGTGAGGGTGCCTTTCCTGCCACCTTGAAAGAGGCAGTGATGATGCCCCTCCTCAAGAAGCCATCCTTGGACCTGGCTGGATTAGTAAATTATCGTCCGGTCTCCAACCTTCGTTTTGTGGCGAAGGTTGTCGAGAGTGTGGTGGCACGACAGCTACCCCGGTACCTGGAGGAAGCTGTCTATCTGGACCCGTACCAGTTGGGCTTCAGGCAGGGGTACAGCACAGAAACAGCATTGGTCGCGTTGGTTGATGATCTCTGGAGGGCTCGGGGCAGGGGTTGCTCCTCTGTCCTGGTCCTATTAGATCTCTCAGCGGCTTTTGATACCATCGACCATGGTATCATGCTGCAGCGGTTGAGGGGATTAGGAATTGGAGACACCGTGTTACGGTGGTTCTCCTCCTACCTCTCTGACCGCTTGCAGTTTGTGTGGGCAGGGGGGCAGAGGTCAACCTCGAGGCGCCTCACTTGGGGGGTACCGCAGGGATCGGTCCTCTCGCCCCTTCTGTTCAACATTTATGTGAAGCCGCTGGGTGAGATCATCCGTGGTTTTGGGGTGAGAGTCCACCAGTACGCTGATGACACCCAGCTGTACATATCCACCCCAAACCACCCCAATGATGCCCTTGATGTGATGTCCCACTGCCTGGAGGCTGTGCGGGTCTGGATGGGGAGAAATAGGCTGAAACTCAACCCTTCCAAGACTGAGTTGCTGTGGCTTCCGGTGTCCCAGTATAGTCAGCTGGTGCCATCGCTGACTATTGGGGGTGAATCTCTGCCCCCCACTTCTCTCCTTGATTAGCTTCCATCCATTGCTTCTTGTTCTGCCTTCAGATGCATTGGAGAATAGGTTGACTCCCTTTTCTTTGTGGCAACTCTGTGGCAGCCCCATATGAGAAACAATCTTAAGAGAAGACTCTGAATAAGGCAATCTATATTTCCTTTGTTAAGTATTACTCAGTCTTTGGGTTTCTTATATTTGAGAAAGTGTGTTCAAGATTTCCGTTGCTCTTTTCTCAAGCTATCTTCTGATTGAATTTGTCTCCAAAAATGAGCTAATAATTGAAAAAAAGTGTAGCAAAACTCCAAGTCCACCAAAACAACATCAACCTACCACAACTGTAAGTCAATAAAGTGCAAAGAAAAAAACAAGAGTAATCAGAGACTTCAAGTGTGCTACACTTTAAAAACCTCAAAGATTTTCTAACGGAATCATTTGTTGCCTGAAGTAGGCTATAAGTGGAATCAATAATAAATCAAGTAATAAGATCTTAAGAGAAGAGAACATTTAAGCAACGGAAACCATAGCCTAGTAAGGCTTGTAAGATTTAAGTGAAACCACAAAAGAGGAAATGCACAGTGATTCCATTTTCTACCAAGACAATTAATAAATAAATGAAAAGTAACTGAGAAGAAACAGAATAAGATAAAACCACAGAATAGAAAAGAAGCTGGAAAATGTTTCCCTATGTAAGTAGGTAATTATGTATGTATATAGTGTGTGAGTGTGTATGTGTATATACACACATTTGATTTCTGAAACCTATGGAATAATTATGAAAAGGGGGGATCTAGGACATATAGAAGAAGGAAATTAAAGGAATGTATATGACAGTGCACATAAATGTAAAATAGAGAGAACACAACTTCTTTTAATGGTTTAAGATATACAAATAGACCTCGTTAATCTCTGCCTATAGCAGAAGAGCTCTTCAATTACAGGTAGTCCTCAAATTACAACCACAGTTGAGCCCAACATTTCTGTTGTTAAGCAACACAGTTGTTAAGAGATTTTTTGCCACCCTTTACAACCTTTTTTGTCATGGTTGTTAAATGAATCACTGCAGTTGTTAAGTTAGTAACATGGTTGTTGAGTAAATCTGGCTTCCTTTCCCATTGACTTTGCTTGGCAGAAGGTCACAAAGATGATCACATGACCTCGGGACACTGCAACTGTCATACATACATACCAGTTGCCAAACATCCAAATTTTGATCACGTGACCACGGGGATGCTGTTTGTCACAGTTTTCATAAGTATAGAAAATAGTCATGAGTCGTTTTTTTTTCAGTGCAGTTGTAACTTTGAACAGTCACTAAGCAAATGGTTGTAAGTTCAGAACTGCCCTGTATAGCATGGGCTGGTGTGTAATGGATGTATAAACTGGTTTAGCTGTGTGCATCTGTCCCCCATTCGGGCTTTGTTCTCCAACCGTTATTTCAAATGCATAATTATAGGAACAAAAGAATAAGGGTATCACAGGTCTCCTCCATAATTTCACCTGCAAAACTGATTCTATTTTTTTAATTTATTTATTTGTCAAGCATGTATAAGATAACAGATATAAGTATAAACATGATTATGAATACAGGAAATGGATACGAATAAAAGGGGACATTAGGACAGGGACGGTAGGCATGTTGGTGTGCTTATGCACGCCCCTTACAGACCTCTTAGGAATGGGATAAAGTCAACAGTAGACAGTTTAAGGTTAAAGTTTGGGGGGTTTGGGGATGAAACCACTGAGTCAGGTAGTGCATTCCAGGCATTGACCATTCTGTTGCTGAAGTCATATTTTCTGCAATTGAGTTTGGAGCAGTTTACCTTAAGTTTGTATCTATTGTGTGCTCATGTATTATTGCAGCTGAAGCTGAAGTCATCATTGACAGGTAGGACATTATAGCAGATAATTTTGTGTACTACGCTTAGGTCAGACCGAAGGCAGCGTAGTTCTAAATTGTCTAAGCCCAAAATTTCAAGCTTGGTGGCATAAGGTATTCTGTTGTGAGCAGAGGAGTGGAGGACTCTTCTCGTGAAATATCTCTGGACTCTCTCAATTGTATTAATGCCCGATTAATTCTTCCCCCCACCCCATGCATTATGTTCAATGCAATAAACAAGCTAAGAGCAGTCATGCTCTGTTCAAAATCTAGCATCCTTAAATGGGATCAGTGATGCAATACAGAATGTTTATGGATATTTGAGGCCACTTTTCCCAATAACTGAATATCAATAGCCCAGGGAAGAAGTCTGTATAAAGCAAACCTGAATTGGAGTGGGAGAGATCGGAATGCATAAAATAATACTTATTTACCAAATGCTTACATATTTAATACAAAACTTGAAAAAGAGCAGTGTGTCTGAATGTATAAAATCAGCGAAGCACATTTATAGCATATTTTCAGTTGTTCTTGCTTAACATGTAAATATCTTTACAAGCAATTTGATGCAAGGAGTATTGGAGGCAGGGTTTGTATGAATTCTTAAGAATGACCAACCCATTTCCCTCTTTGCTATTTGCTGCAGGCAAAGCCGGCTTTTGGCTAATATTTCTGAAGCTGATACCCTGTGATATAAGTTTAGTAATCTAAACTCTGATGGACAGCACATGGTACCAACTGGAAAAGAGCAAAATAGCCCACCTTATGCTGTCAACAATGCTGCCTTAACAAAATCTCAAGTAACACTTCTAAAGGCGGTGGTCAGTTATAACCACAGTTACTGCTACTGCCTGCCTTTTCAGTTCCTGCTTCAGTAGGACCCAAAAGAAGAAATACAGAAATACAAACTCTTCTTATAAGAATATCAAGTCTAGCTAACAAAAAATAAGGAAGACCTATTAGAAAATATTCCCCTTCCCAATTACTGAGGGGTATCACCTACCTGGTTTTTATTGGTCATCATTTGCTCAGACTTCCGGCGATACCAGGCTGAGCAGTTGAAGGGCTTCCACCAGTGGTGAAATTCAAATTTTTTTATTAACGGTTCTGTGGGCGTGGCTTGGTGGGTGTGGTGTGGCTTGGTGGGCATGGCTTGGGCGTGGCAGGGGAAGGATACTGCAAAATCTCCATTTCCACCCCACTCCGGGGGAAGGATATTGCAAAATCCCCATTCCCTCCCCAGTCCTGGGGGAAGGATATTGCAAAATCTCCATTCCCACCCCACTCTGGGGCCAGCCAGAGGTGGTATTTGCCAGTTCTCTGAACTACTCAAAATTTCTGCTATCGGTTCTCCAGAACCTGCCAGAACCTGCTGAATTTCACCCCTGGCTTCCACTATCCATCTTAATCATTTCAGGTAAGATAGATGGCATGTGGATGTTGTTGGCCATGGAGTCAACAGATGGGAAATGGCAATAAGAGAATGAAAAAAAAAAAGAAAAGAAATCTGCCAGAGAATATGAAAAGCTGCTACCATTCCTAGTATGCCTTACATCAGCGCTTTCAAACTTCCGGCCTGCAGGCTGGATGCATCACGCGCTGGCCACGCCAATGCCGGGTTTAACGAAGGGGGGAAAAGCCCTGATACGTCACGTGATGCCACCATGAGGTGAGGTGACATGAGTTTGACACCTCTGCCATACATAGTTAGATGAGCCTGATCTATAACAGATTAACAAATATAAATTGACCTATGATTCACTCAGCACAGCATTACTATTGATCAAGGCTTAACAGGCCCACCCCTTTAATTATAAAGTATCCATTTTCTTTTGAATGGATCTGCAAGCCTCAAGGAAGAATTCTTTTTCTAGAATTTCCTTTTCTTGCCTTTATTTTATTTTCATTGTATTCCTGACTTACTTTCTTTAAGGAACTCTGTGACAATCAAAATTGAGATGCTGTAGACTTCATGTAGCAAATTTGATCATATTGGCAATTTAAAACTGTGTGCTGACTGTAATAGAAAATAAATAAATAAAAATGTTTTTACTTTTAAAGGCTCAAAAAAATGTCCAATCACAGAAGACACTGATGAGCATTAGGAATCTGCCAAATATATGTGTTTTTTAATACACAAAGTATCTTTAACTTTTTGGTTTTGATTTTTAGGACAGTAGTATAAATTTGCAGTTTCATTGCCCCCATTATGAGTATAAATTATGAGTATAATTTTTGCCTAACATCAGACAAATACAGAATGCTCGCTTAAAATAATTATTGAAATCTTGACGATGATAAAAGACAAAGTTCCTTCTTTCTCAATAATGCAGAATTGAAAAGAGGGGTATTTTTAAGAGATTCCTCTTCTCACATCTCAGCTTGTGGTGGGTAGGCAAGATGTCAAACAAAAGCAAGCTCAACCATGCTCAAGAGATTATAAAATGGAAATAAAAGAAGTTTGAAAAGGACTGGAAAATTGGAATTTGAATACAAAGGATCCCATACTTGGCTGAACATAGGAATATGCAAAGGCAATTTTAATTAAGAACACGAGCAAAATTTCTGTCTTTGTTTCAAGAAAGAAGGAAGGCAAAGGAAGAATCCTGAATCTGTTTGGAAGATTGTTGAGAAAGTAGTTGGATTGCTGCTGAACACAATCCTGGAGCAATCGGATAATCTAGACCTTTTTCAGTCTTGGATATATTTGTAAATGATATGTGACAGAGATCCTAGATCTCTCAGCAGGAGTTGGGGGGCACCATTTTACTGTTCCTTCCTCCCTCCCACATTCCCTGGTTTGTTCCAGTTGCTTGGGGGATTTAAAAGATTATTATTTTGCCAAAGGTGCTTTCAATACTATTTGAAAATAATTAGACAAATAGACTATGCCTTCATGGGCATGCTGATTGTTTAATATTAAAGAGAAAAGAGAAAAAGCAATTGGTGGATTTTACAAAGCAAAGAAATAAAGGTAATATGAGATAGACCAAGGGTGAAATTCAAAATTTTTCCCTACCGGTTCTGTGGATGGGGCACAGGTAGGGGAAGGATACTGCAAAATCTCCATTCCCATCCCACTCTGGGTCCAGCCAGAGGTGGTATTTGCCGGTTCTCCGAACTACTCAAAATTTCCACTACTGGTTCTCCAGAACTTGTCAGAACCTGCTGAATTTCACCCCTGAGATAGACTGCGTGACCAAAACTATGGAGTGCCCTAAAGCAGTGCCCCAACAGTTGGGCATCAGGGACCAGTTCCATGAAGAGAGGTTTTACCATGGACTAGGGCAGGGGTCTGCAACCTTAAACACTCAAAGAGCCATTTGGACCCGTTTCCCACAGAAAAGAAAACACCGGGAGCCACAAAATCCTTCCCGTGCCTGACTATTTCTTGAGCAGCCACAAAACTAGCATATGTAGTTGAATTAAATGTTCTGTTTTGTTCTGAAACTTTTCTTTTCTTGGATTTATCATGGTTGGCTTACCAGGGATTGAAAAGCTCAATAAATTGTGTGCCAGTGGGTGTTGTACATTGGTAGTTGTGATGCATATTTTGAGTGACAGGGAGCCATAGTAGAGCGGTGAAAGAGCCACATGCGGCTCCAGAGCTGCAGATTACTGACCCCTGGACTAGGGGGTCATGGTTTAACATGCTGCCTGTATCCCACAGATGGGGCTTTGCTTGTTTGCACAGTCTGGTTTCTCGCATGCCACAGACTGGGGGTTGGGGAATGCTGCCCTAAAAGACATAGGAAAGGCAAAAGAAAAAAAGAGAGAGAAAGTACCATTAATTTTCACACTTGTAACTGTGTCATTTACACTTTTGTATTACAAATTAAAGAATGATGACTACCAGGTAAGCAGCAAAACTGAAGGGAGAAGAAGACCAATAGATCAATCAACAGAAAAGGGGATTACTCCAGAGAGATTACACAAATAGCAATAGCACTTAGACTTATATATCACTCCATTGTGCTTTACAGCATCTTTTATACATATAAGGCCAAGGTTGAAAAAAGGCAGCCGAATATTGGTTCAGGGAATTTGACAAAAAGGTCAAATGTTTGTTGTTTAGTTGCAAAGTCGTGTCCGACTAATACGACCCCATGGACAACATTCCTCCAGGCCTTCCTGTACTCTACCATTCTCTGGAGTCCATTTAAGCTCACACTTACTGCTTCAGTGACTCCATCCAGCCACCTCATTCTCTGTCATCCTCTTCTTCTTTTGCCTTCAATCTTTCCCAGCATTAGGCTCTTCTCCAGTGAGTCCTTCCTTCTCATTAGGTGGCCAAAGTATTTGAGTTTCATCTTCAGGATCTGACCTTCTAAAGAGCAGTCAGGGTTGATCTCCTCTAGGACTGACCGGTTTGATCGCCTTGCAGTCCAAGGGACTCACAGGAGTCTTTTCTAGCACCATAGTTCAAAGGCCTCAATTCTTTTGCGCTCAGCCTTTCTTATGGTCCAACTTTCACAGCCATACATTGCAACTGGGACATCATAGCCTTGACTATACGCACTTTTGTTGGCAGGGTGATGTCTCTGCCTTTTAATCAAATGTTAGACGACTTCAATAAGAGGACAAGAGATCCTAAGGAACAACCCTAAGAAATTTTGAAGAATGGAGAGAACATTAAAGAATGTTTTAAAAGAACACTTTTCAGGTTAACATTTCCCACTCTTCAGTACCTGCATTTTTTCATATCTGAAAAGTATTTAGTTCAATTGCTTCTCAAATGCATAACATCTCCTGCCAATCTGCCACTTCATTACTTGGTTTATCTTAATTTAAATTTCATAGTGCTGTGTTAATATTTTTGTTACAATTTGTTTTGATTTTCAGATCATTTTTTTTCAAAAAAAACAACAATTTTTTGTTTATCTATATTATTTATCCTAGGCATCTTGGCTGTCACAGTGATCAATGAAAATATGGGAATCAGTGGCCATTTTGTCTCGCACATTAAGAGCTTTTTTAAATTCTATTTTTAATTAGCCCAATAAATTGAGCTCTCTGGGTACATTACAAATCTGTTCCTTTGCTTTAAAAGGCATGTCTCTGGAGCACATTTGCATGGCATTGCTAGTTAATTTGTGAAAAAGGAGGTTTCCAGTGCTTTGAATATTGCTTCCTTTTCAGATTTGAGGGCAAATGAGGACAGGTTTATCATCTGCGTAGAATGATAAAGGCTGAAAAAATGAACTATTTGTCATGAACCAAGATCCAGACAAGTCTCTCCAACCCTGACTACTATACTTTATTTATCTTCTCAGACACATGAGAAGAATTTTTCATGAAGTCAGCCAGGCCTCCACTTATAATCTAATTTAAACCTGTTGACTTGAACAACATACTGCTATGCTCACACGATATATTTTTCTTTGGCTAACTTAATCCATGCTTATATTCAAATAAGCCAATTTTATGGAACGGTACAATACCTTGAAGCATAAAGTAAATAGTTAGGCTGGACTTGCACGTGATGTTTATGGAATTATGCATTGTGGTGGAGGGGAACCTATCACATTTTTCATTGCTGCATTTAATCAGGGCTGCTTTGTTTTATTTACGTTTTTTATTGTTTTATATTGTATTGGATTTTGTGAGCCACCCAGAGTCTGTTGGGAGTGTGCTGTTACAATGCATTCAATACAAAAATGAAATGAAATGAAATGAAGTAATAAAAGAAAATTAAAATAATGAAATAAATAAAATAAAACAATGCAATGCAATGCAATAAATACATTGCAATGCAATGCAATGCAACGAAACGCAACGAAACGCAACGAAATGCAATACAATAAACAAGAAGTTTGCTGCTATATTAGAGCCCTGACACATTTAGTCCAGCAGTCTGTTTTGGTTGTGGACAACCAACAGCACAAGAAAACCCATTAGTTTCCCAGTAGATAACCTTATGAGGCGGTCACACTAACATCAAGGCTAATAACCATTGATCCCCATGACTTCCATGAATGATCCAATCATTTGTTGAAGCAAGTCAAGCTGGCTACTACATTTTGTGACAGCAAATTGCAAACTCTCAGTATGTGTTATGTACAGATAATCATAATTTTGTCTATCCGG